CCCCCCCCCTCTGGAAGGTTCCCACTGAATTAGTTGCTGTTCGTCGCGCAAGGGGTAAGGGGTAGCGACAGCACCCCACCGTTTACAAAAGCGTACGCACACTACGAAAAAAATACTTGTAGATTATACGACTCTGTTGGAGCACGCCTGTCACCAAGCAGTACGAAGTGAAATACTGCGGTCTACCCCCCTTGAGTATCTAGGGTTCGAATCCATGACCTACGCCGAGACCAGCCATTCGACCGATCGTTCCGGGGTGTTTAAGTTGCGAGCGCTGGCTCTTTTGAAGGAAATGAAACTGCGCGACACACATTTCTCAAGCGACCTTATCTTTGCTGGAGTTGGCATTTTGGTGTTTCGGACTGCTGTGTTGCCTACAGTTTGAACTGGTTGCATACCAGCTTAGGACACAGATGAGCTCTCTACTACCACGCTGTAGGACCCCGCTTGTTGAACGTCCCAACTTTCAGTATTGCCCTGCTGCAGGGACGGCTGTGGAGCAAGTTGCCGTCGTCAGTGACGAGGGCGGCGAAGATATATACTTCACGCTCGCGCCCAATATACGAGGACTATTGCTATCACGCACAAACTCACCATGGAGAAGTTGAGAGGAGGTACAACCATGCCGTCCGATGGCAGCGTAAGCGAGGCCAGGCCCGGCAGACCAAGGCCGTAGCCGGGTTCCTCCTCCGCAGTCAAATTCTCTAACTTGTCGTCGGCGTCCATTTCGGTCGGCGGTGCCACTTCCCTCCCAACACCCCCTTGCCCGACGAACTCAGAGGTCCTCCCACAGTCGGCATGGTTCAACATGCCAGTGGTGAGCCAGTATCTCCTGTCTGGCTGCTGCTGCCCTGCTGTGCGCGAATGCACGCTGGGTCACTTGGCCACTTGGCTGCGAAGCAGGGGGCCGCCGACCAGCAGTACGGTATTTACCGTGTCCGTACCAATCTTATCCGTGCATCCCCTTGACCTCGTGGTGCTGTTCCTGTGCGTGCACGCACACACGCAATCAAACCCTCGTATCCCCTGACACGAACCAAGCTTCGGGGGTACCTGCTGTGGCGTCTGCCCTCCCGCTTGTGTGTGCCACGTCATCCGCAGCCCCTTTCTCTTCCCTGCTTAGCAGAAGACGAGTGCACTGACTCTTTTTTTTTGGTTTGGACTTCCCCCTGGCGTGCCCCAACGGCAGTGGGCGGGCCAACAAGGATGAAGCGCAAGGCCACCAAGAGAAAACCAATTCCCTTGGTAAGAGTACATTTGCTGTATTTGTTGTGGAGGTGGCGGACTGAACCTCGCTGGTGATGCTTTTGTTCACACGCCTTTGTATTCATACATACAAGGCAGTTTCGTAGGTTCCGCCCGTACAACGTAGTGAAGGGATCGACCATCCACCTACCTTGCCTACCCTGTAGGTCAATGTGTAGCTAAACGCCGACACACCCATCCCTGGCCACGCCAAACATTCCCGATCTCCCATATATGTTCTTTCTCCCAAACACCGCACTAGGTCCCGCCGGCCATCCGATCGAGGAAAAAAGCGAGGCAGATCGTCACCACCTTCCACAAACTAGAGAAGGAGGCCGACGAGGTGTCGTCGAGCACTGCCCCCGACAAACAGGCGCGGCTTGAGCGATTAGAGCGCGAGCTGGACGAAATGGGAGGGAGGGAGGCTTACCAGAGCGCAAGCTTGCTAAGCGTCAGCTTTCACAACACTTCAAAGTGGGTTACGAAGCAGCTCGCGGGCAAGTTGGGCTTGCGGCCGGCAAACGGAGAACCGCCACTGCGGGTGCTTGAGGTGATGAGGCGGATGTACAACAGCAAAAATAGTCTAGATGCTCTGGTGTGTTTTGGACAGGCACCCTGTATTCAGGTCATTATCAGACCGCTTGTAGAAGAATACTTCCGGACGAAGAGCCGGCTGTATTCAGGTCATTATAGGATTCGAATAATGCTTAAAAGCTTCAATATAGGTTGTTCCGACCAATCTTCCCGGGCCCCTGCCCCATCGTCGAGAACCGCCCTTGGTTCTGGTCCGTCTCGGTTCTGGACGTTCCGCCACAGGGTTAAAATGGACCACAGACGTGGAAAAGTACCGAGAGTGTAGCTCCGTTCCCCCACCCGCCGTCTGATGCTGCCGAACTTTTCTTCGAATCGGTTGCTCGCGTTTTGGGTCAGGTGGGTGCCATCAACACTCGGCTGTTGGACGTGCCGTGGTTGGACGTGAGGGCGATCGACCTCAAGTCGCAGCACCCACGGATCGAGGAGCGCGACTTCTTCTCGTTGGAACCAGCGGGAGAATACGATGTGGTGTCTTCAAGGTGAAAGAAAGCATGCATTGGAGTGACCAAGTGCAGGTGGCACGCACGTGTCTGATGAGACGTGGATTTTTGGCGTGTACACCTGCCCTGCGCATGTTCACTTGCGATATACCATGCCCCTACTGCTGCCGCTGGGTTGGGGTACTATGCTGCTCATTGTAAGTGCGGTAGCTTGATTTTGAGGGAGCGCATCCGGTCTTCGCATGTGGAAGAATTAGTTTCAATGCGTCTTTGCACGTGCGACGTGTTGTGGACGTCTGGCTGTTTCCTCTTGGCCGACGCAGCATGGTGATCAACTGTGTCCCGACAGCCAAGGGCAGGCACGAGATGCTGGTGGGGTACCGACATCACCTTCGCAACGGGGGGCACCTCTTCCTCGTTCTCCCCCTCCTCTGCCTCACGAAGAGCACACGGACTACGCGAGAGTCTTTCTTGGAAACCCTCTCGCGAATTGGATTCACGGTCGTCGCGAAAAAGGAGACCCCAAAAGTGGCGTTTTTCTGCTTGAGGAACACACCGCTGGAGGCCCGGGACGTTCAAGTTGGCGGGTCCTCGCTAGCCACGAAAGACGGCGGGACGAGGGGTGCGGGAGCGGAGAAGGGGATCTCCAGAAAGAGGAAACATGGAGCAAATGACTTTGCTGTATCACCGTAGCTTTGTTGCGTTGCCCGATGTGCAGTGGTGTTTGCTCTCTGACTTTCGTAGGATGGAATCGGGCGTGCATCTGGATGGCGCGGATGGTGTGGTCCTGCTTTGTCGATTGTTAAGAATAGATGATCTGGCAAGGAGTTGAATTCATGATTATTGACAAGTGCTGGCCTTGGAAGTGTTGGCACACGAATGCACCCCATAGCCCAATCGAAGCAGCACGCGGAGGCGAAATCGAAAACACCCAATAGCACAACGACTGCGGAAAAATAGCGAAGGACGCGTGTCATCGTACACCGTCGTGTTCATCCAACTTCCCTCGACGCCAAGTCCCACTATGGCTCCCCTTGCTATCGCTTTCCACCAACGCAGACTCTTCACCCGTGCTGCCAGTACTACTGTTCGCCACCCTCTCTGCAAGCGCCCTTGCTGCTAGCTCTTCTCGTCTACGTACGTCCGCATGGTTTGCTCCTGGCTCTTGTTGCCCGGTCCCGATTTTTCTCGACCCGGGTTTTTCCGAGCGGGTTGCATCTTCTTGACGCTCATCCCCAGCCATCCAACTCCGACAGATCTGCAAGAGGCGCTTGCCTTGCGCCTCGCCGGTTTGAAGCAACCAGCTGCCTGCTGCTGACGCCGTTTCTATTGCCTTATCGAAAGTTGACACTTCGGCACCAGAGCTGCTGTCCGCCTTGCTCGCTGCGTTTCTAGCGCTGTGGACTCTTTTCCCGTGGCGAGCACCAGAGGTGCCGCTGAGCGTGGAGTCCGTCATTGGTCCTGCCGCTAGGAAACGAGTTTTTTCAGGAGCGATGTTGATGGGGGGGGGGGGGGGGG